ACGCGATTTTGGCGATTTTTGCATTTGCCGCAATGCCGGCAGAGACTGAGATCTTGGTCTTCTCCAGGACCTCTGCGCGCATGCGCTGGACTGCCTCTTCGGGGTCAATCTCATTCTCAGTACAATATGCAGTCAGATTGAGATACGCCTCGTCGATACTAGCGCTTTCGAACGTGGGATCATATTGTGCGAATATGGCGCGAATCTCCTTTGCCTTTTCCGTATACTTCTCGTAGTTCTGAGGCAGGCAGATCAGCTGAGGACATAGCTTCTTCGCAACGAACGATGCCATGCCACTCCGACAGCCGAACTTTCGCGCCTCATAGTTGCAGGTCGTTAGCACTCCCTTGCCGACCGCCATAGGGACAGTCTTCAGTTCCGGACGGTCGAGTTCTTCCACTGCAGCAAAGAAAGCATCACAGTCGACGTGGACAACATGCTGCGACAGATCTCGCGTCAGTTCTAGCTCCGCAAGAAGCTGGTCAGCGCGTCGTAGATCCGCCGACAGATCTAGTTTCTCGAGACGGGCTTTCTCTTTGAGAATGCGTTCAATCTTCACCGTCAAGACCTTGTCCCGATTTTGCTCATGATTGAAAAACTTGGAGCCTTTGGAGGCATTGTAAATGATTTCCGATACCTGCTAATCTTAGCTATACTCCTAGACCGTCGTGGCATACTCACCTTTCGCTGGTCCACGGCATCTTGGCCCGCTTTGGTCAAAGACGGTCCTAAGAGTTGATATTTCAAGGTATCATAATTTTCAGCAGACTCCACACTGTTAGACGCCTTTGCATCATCATTTGGTTCCTCGCCCGAAGGCTCCATCTCTGATGATGGAAGCGAGGATGATGGGCATGACATTACCCAAGCAGGCAGCTATTGCGACGCCTGATCACGTGAACACGCGTGACGGGCCGTGTTTCACGTGCCGCTGATGTCAACTCATCCGAGCAGCTGCATCACGCTGCCAGGCACACAACCGCTCCCATGTGGATTCTAGATTCGGAGGGTGACTTTCTGGGTGGTAATATCCTCACTCACTGCTTTATGGTTTTGGCTGATAGTCAAAGGCAAGCGCGTGTGGCTGCGACCGGGGAAGAAGTATCTCTTCGGTCGGATCAAGCAAGATGGAGGTAAGGTGCTGAGACCATGGTCAAACTCCGCTATACTAACTTTGGTCGCATGCAGTCCGACATGCTATTGATAACAAGTCTATTTCCCGAAAGCATATGATGATCGAAGTTTCACCTGTAAAATCAGGCGATGGAGTACGATGATCTAATTCCTCTGCTTTCCCCGCTAACCGTTCAGTCGCATATCTACACCAGATCGAAAATTGCCGTGCGCGACTTGGGCTCGAAATATGGCACCAAAGTGGATGGTAATACGGTGAAGGATGAAAGTAAAGACCTGACTGGTGAGGAGCATGAAATTAAGTTGGGGAGATACGAACATGCGCTGCGGTAATTACCATGGCAAGGAACGATGTCGGCAGGGACTAACCGTGGTGGTTACTAGGATCAAGTGGCAGCCGGTCGTTCTAACCTTCTCCTTTTCCTCGAAAGAACTCAAAGCGAAAGACCCCCTGGCACGAGTGCGCTCCCGTGTCGAGGATTTGGATATCAAAACGATTGTTCCGTACGTTGTCGACCACACTACACACGTTGTCCAGAAGAAACGGAATACTGCCAAGGGTCTGCAAGCGTTGGTGAATGGAAAGTACATTGTGCAGGATTCTTACATCGACGCCTTGGTTTATGCGGCTACCCCGAGCGACCTAGAGAACCTCGAGTCGTTATCCCCGTTGGAGGCCGATTTCGACACGGCATGGCCGGATGCAATGGCACACCTTCCACCTCCTGGTAAGGAAACCGTACAGAGACCAACGGAAGCATTTGCTCCGAGACCCGATAGAATCAATATCTTCGATGACTACACATTCGTGTTCATGGACTCTGCGCAGTTTGGAAACTTGCAGGATGTTATTACAAACGGTCATGGAAAGGCATTACTTTACCAAGTGGAAGAAGGGGTCACCACGGCGGCAGAAATCGTGCAATATATGAGAAATGCGGCTGGCGACAAAGGTCTCGGGAGCCAACGGGATGGCCCTGGCGGAGTGGTTCTTGTTCGATACGTTGCGACTGGACGTCATGAGAACTGGTGGGCCGAGCTCGGTAATGAGGTTGCTTTGTCGACCGACCAGCGCGTTATTCAGCAGAGCGAGTTCCTGGACGCTATTCTGGGAAATGACGCTTCTGGTCTCTGCCGGTCTCTGCCCGAGGCCCAGGACATGGATGTAGAACCCACTCCACCAGCTGCTACCCCTGATGTTCAAGAAGTTCAAGACTCACAGCCCCCGGCGGAAAGCCAAGTGTCAACGAAGAGGAAGCCACGAGTTCGAGGATTTGTCAGTAAGATGAAAACGTTCGATGATGGCTTCGATATCAACTCCATTCCCGCTCATGCTCCGGAGAGCGTTGATGATCCGCCGCCTTTGATGGAAATCGAACCATCGCCGGCACAACAATCGCAACCGCAAAGCAGCCTCCAAGAGGAGGAAGAAGAAGACATGGTGTCAAGCCTACTGCCGGGTGCCCAAGCGATGAAACGTCGACGCGCTCAGACGACGGCGAGGACCAAAGAAGAGCCCAGTTCTGAGACGAAAGACGAGGCCATGCCGCGGGTGAAACGCCAGAAACTGGACGTACTGGAGGCCGCGCGGCAGCACCGGGAGGCCGAAGATGCGCAGCGCCAGCGTCAGGCGGAAGAAGCGTCGCTGCAAGGGCCTCTTGAGGATGTCAATGTGGAGAAGCTCAAGGGGCTTGCAATCGTAGAGGAGATGGAAGTGAAGCCGAGACACGTGAGCGAAGAAGATCGACGTTGGGACGATCGGTGGAATGGACGCAAGAACTTTAAGAAGTTCCGCCGCAAGGGCGAACCCGGGCAGCCTCGCTACCGCATCCAGACGGTGATAGTGCCACTAGAGGAGGTGACGCGAAAAGACTTTGGGATTGGGGACCACTATTGGGTTAGTAATCGCACGGAGCAGAGTCCAGCAGACAGTCCGGCCGAACGGGCTGTCAGTCAGGATGCAGCCGCATCCCGCTCGCAGTCGGCCCGGGTCGATTCGGAGACACCAGCGCCCAGGGAGACCCGAAGTCAGCCCCGGGTGCAAAAACGGATGCGAGAAGAGCAGGACTCGGATAGCGATGATGGGCTTCGGTTCCGATTCCGTCGCAGGCGATGATTGATGCTCAAAATGTAGTTAGATAGATACCTTTAACCATGACCAGTTCCTTCTCAGCTTTTGTGCGTGAGAATGGGATATTGAATGTAGTTGAATGAAGAATGGCCCACCATCGCATGGTAAGGCATTGAAGTGAATGCGATGGATGTTTTGCCATGTTGCCGTGTTGCCATGTTGCCATAGTGTGGAGAACCACATGCGGGGGAGCCAAGTATTCAGGAAAGTGGATATGCTGGGTAGACAAACGCAGTCCTTATGACGCTGTTGGGCATTAAGCGGACCACCTCATAGGCGCATTACCGTGAAGTGTTGTGGTGGATGATATGCGGTCAGCCGTGCATGATGCGAACCGACTTGTATGATATGATTAACTCTAATGTATAGTAGGTATCGAATATGAAGTATAACAGTATCTGTATCTAAGATATTACATCATGAGAGGAAGTAGAAGTGGATGAGTGAGAGTGGACACTCCCATGTGGTCTGTGCCATGGCTCATCCAAAGTGGCCTGGGAATGGAGCCCTAGCCCCCCGACCCGCCGGGCTGACCCCGTTTGAGATGTGTTTCAAAGGGCCCACGGGAACCAAACACTGATTTATGTGAAACCATACGCTATATGAATCTTCCTGGATTGATAGATAGATAGTAGACTACTAGTCGATTGTTGTTTATCTTGGGTCTACAGGTGAGATGGCGGTCTGGAAATAAACCAACTAACAAGTAAGTTAGAATATGCACATGATTAAGTAACAGCATGTCTAGCAGTCGAGGGAAAGGGGGTGGATACTTACTGCTGTAAGTAGCATTCAGGTGGTGTGATGAGTCCAGTGGAGGAGAGCGTGACCAGCAAAATCACTAACTAACCCTGTAAACCTGGTTTGGGGGGGGGGGGGAACCCGAACAAGGCTGTGTTTTGGCTTTTCCCGTCTTGCCGTAAGAATGACTTGCCGGTCATGGTGAATGTGTGCCTGAGGAGAGCCTGGAAGATTCCCTCTCTCTGTTTCTCTCTCTTTAACTCTCTCCCCCTCAAAAAGTCTCTCCGTCATCCTCGTCATTTCATCCATCTCGTTTCGTCTCTTCTCATCCATCCATCCATCCTCTTCCTATTCTTTCGCTTTCCCACTACTCTATTTCCTCCACATCATTTCCCATCCCGCCTGGCTGCGATTGCTCTCGTTCCCTCCATCTTTGTATTCTGATCTACATACTCCATACAACCCTCATCTCCTCATCGCTACAATCCCACCCACTCCAGCTGCCTGACTGCCTAACCGCCGATTAGCATCTCGCCCACTCGTTCGACTGGCGACAATCTGCCTCCAACGCATCAGCATTGGCACCGCCATGGACCACGTTGGCTAGCCCTGGCTGCAATTCATATTATCGCTCGTTATTTCTTCCATCCAGCGTCCTGCCTATTTCTAATTTCTCCTTATCACGGACCACAGAACGCTCACAACAATTCCCCCCCCGTCACCCGCTGCTCTTAGCTTCCCGTCAATAGTATGTCTCGCAGCGCGCATTCCCCCCAAAATTTGATCCAGTGCCTCGTTTTTAGACTTTGCTTTGCTTTTTCTTGCCTTGGTCACAGGTAATTGAAATACTAACTTCCGACCCACCCGCAGCGCCCTGCTTTAACTAACGATTTACGACTTCCGACTCTTCCTCTGTTTGGCGCTTCCCGGTTTGGTGCTGGCGACCTCGATTTGAATGCCGTCTGCATTGATATTCTCCCCCTCATCGTCCCCCATGATTTCTACCATCCCCCCTCCCCGTCCGGTCTCGGTCAATTCACTGGCCAGAGCGTCAGCCTCGACAACCATCCCCTACGCCAAAGCGAGTCGCTGCACCAGTGCCGAAATTCAGATTCTCGATGGTCCCATTAATCCCCCGGCGGTGGGGCCTGGTCAGCTGGTCTGCCAGTCCCCGGTGGATACCGAAATGGAGGATGCACGGATAAGCGTGGAGACGCCTCAGGCCTGCCGATCCCAAGTGCGCTTCGAAGACCTGCCCATCGAGATCCACGAGGCCATTCTAGATCATTTGTTTGGCGAGCGGGCATCGGCCTTCACGTCGTGCGCGCCCGGTAAGTCCGCGCGTAGTTGGAATAAGTCGTTGCGTCATCCCCGTCGAAAAGCGCTCTCCAATTTGGCATTGATCACCCCTGTCTGGCGAGCACTGGTGCAGGACCGAATTTACAGGCACAGTGAGTCCCCACTTATTATTTTTGGTCTTCCTCAACGCCACAATTTGTTGCATCTGTCTAATTCACTGCCTAGTCAAAATCAAGGGTACTACAGATGAATTGGCAGAAAGTGCTCGCTGGTTCCGTGCACATCCCCACCTGGCCCCGTACGTCCGCCATGTCGAGATCTGGATCCCGGTATGGGGAAAACGCGCCGTTAAGAATACATCGCACCATTTTCCGGCCCGGCGGTTGCATGACGAGGATGCCGGCCTGGTCGAGCCTGGAGTGCCTCAAGCCATCGCGTGGGACGACTCTGATACCAACCATAGCTCCGACTATCGATACCACTATGCCAGTCATAATGCGACACTGGAGGAGATGTTCTCCCACGTCAAATCCGAATTTCCCGAAGCACGCATACTGACCCTGGAGGGAGGTCACTGTAAGCGACCGCCAATGGTCCGCCAATTCCGCGATGATCCATGCGGCCACTCCGGACGGCGGCGTTTGCCTACGCTGCCAGTCGTCCAGACGTTTGTCATGCGTGGAGCGTGGAATATCATGCGCGACTATCAACATTGGTTGAACATGTCACAAGCCTTACCGGGGGTGCGCGAGTGGCACTGCGCCTACGCCAAGCCCAAATTCGAGGCCTACGAGACTGTCGCGGAGATTCTCTCCCGCATATCCCCATCACTCGTCCATGTCAACATCAGCCTGGAAGGCTTCTACAACAAGGACAACACACAATCCGGCTGGATGCACGATGGAATCAGCCCACCACATCTCTGCCGCCTGCTTGGCGAGGCAGCCCCGCGGTTGGAGTCCCTTGCATTTACGGGGAAGGTCTGCGCCTGTCTCTTCAATGCAACCCGCAGCTTCATGTCCACCTGGCCGGCCAAGTCCAAGCTCAAGTCGTTAGATTTGGTGGTCAAGACCTGCTGTCGCGAAAAGCGGGCCAATCCGGGACTCGGATTTCTAGACGACTTTTCCGGCATCACCAATCTGAACTTTATCCGCTCTTTTGAGAAACTCGTCCTCGGCGCCGTCCACAGCCTGCAGCTGCACACTGCCTTGACGTACATGCGCATCCGCTTCATCGACCTGGATTCAGCTTGTCCGCCACTGAACCCCTACTTCCAGCTGTCCGATAACGAGTGCACCGGTTTGTGGAATGAGAGGATCCTCGAGACCTTGCATGAGGCCCGTCCCCAGGCACACTATGCAGAGCTTTCCGACGGCATTTATCCCCAGTATGGACACAACCGGCAGATCGTAGGGGCGGTGTACCCGCGAACTCGACCATTAAGTATCCATGCATCGACATACAAAGTTATTGCCGATGTGTCCAAGCCATAGCGCTGCTTCTATTGATTTGATTGTAGTTTATGGGCGGGATGGCAGCAGCAAAAGTCTTGAATGTAGCCCATTTATGATACCAGTCTTTTAACAGATAATGCAGTATATTTTACGATGATTGCAGTGATGACAAATAAGTGCATAGTGGAGCAGAGTAGTAGTTGAATTTGACTGCAAGGGGACATTCGGGAACTAGCATAGGAGCTAATACAGTTTGACTTTCAAAACAAAAGCAGTTCCATAGGAGATACACCCATACATATACAACCACACCATTCCCAACACATACTACTCACCACACCCATCCATACTCATAACGAACCGATCAATAAACATACCTAAACCTCGGATTCTACCCCACTGTCAGCCTCACAAACCAACACACACACACACACACACACACACACACACACACACAAAGGCAGAAAGAAGGGAAAGTAGAAAACATACCTCAAAATCCGTCAAATCCTCCATAACCCCCTCCCCATCCCCTTCCCCACCACCATCAATAGTACTACTAGTACTACTCAACTCCCTCATCTTATTCCTCCGGATCAATAATAATCTAATCCCCCCGGCACAAACAATCTGACACACCGCACACGCAAGAATCAACCTACACCCGGTCTGATACACCGGCGCCTCACTCGCCAGGAACGCATGCGGACCGATAATATTCCCGATACAGTAGGCCAGGAACACGAATGCCGTGGCGGTCACGCGCTTCGTGTATCCGCCCATGTTGCTGGAGGGGAGTTGGAGGGCCAGGACGAGGGAGGTTACGAAGGAGCCGATCTGTACCATTATCATCAATATCATTTATTATTAATATCTTAGTTTCACGGGGGGATGGGGGAGAAGATGGGGAAAGAGGGTCTCACGATATAATACCCAAATAACACGCCATATTCCCGTTCTCGGGGTAACTTCCATAAAAGACATACGCCGATCACAGTCGGGATTAGATATGCGATCATGATTAGGGTGCGGATGTTGGGGATGCGGGTTGAGAGGTAGGTTCCGCTGAGGATGAAGAGGACTTGGAAGGCGCCTTGGGGGATGCCGAGGACGGTGGTTAGGAGGGGGCTGGTTACGAGGCCTTTGATTATGAGTTTGCCGAACTATATTTATTTCATTCTGTGTTAGTGGGGTTGTGGTTATGGTAGGGGAGATAGGGTATGGATGGGATGGGAGGGGGGTTTACGTTGGCTACTCCCCCGTTGATCGTCTCGTTCAGTAATGTGAATAGGAATAATAGCCAGACTTGGGGATCGAGGAAGGCTTCGCGGATTTGGTACCATTTTATGGATCTATTGAGTATTCCCTATGGCTTTTTGTTAGTATAGTGTGGGTTGGGCTATAAGGAAGAAGGGGGATATGGGTAGGGGCTACAGTTTGATTCTTCCTTCCCCTGCCGATGAGCAACACCTTCTCCTCCACGGTGAATCTCTTGCTTGAGAGAATGCTGTTCGGGAGGAATATCATCATCACCACGCCCCAGATGATTGTGGCGCCGCCGCAGATGAGGAATACCGCGCGCCATACGGGGAAGGTGTCGAGTTGGCCGATGGCGTAGGTGAGGAGGCCGCCGACCTGATTTTATCTATTAGATTGATTTGGAATGGGATGGATGTGTGGGTACTCACCATCGATCCAACGCCATTACAGCAGTAGAATATCCCCGCGCGGAGAGGCTGCTCTTGTCGGAGGTACCACATTCCGACGATCATCATGAAGCAGGGTGTTATTGGGGCTGTACTTGTTAGTTGGTAGATAGGTATGGGATGAGGGTGGGTTTGGTACATTCGAAGCAGCCTAGGAGGAATCGACAGATGGCTAGGCCGGTGAAGTTGTCGCAGGCAGCTGTTATCATGAGGATGGAGCCCCAGGCGATTCTGGTTGTTGTGTTAGTGGGTTGTGCATTTGGGTTTGGGGAGACTCACACGAAGGATGAGACGACTGTCCCGATGGGTAGGCGTTGCGCGATGTAGCTGGCGGGGTATTCCCAGAAGAGGTAGCCTATTATCGGTCTGGTTAGCGGCGCTGGATGTATTCTGACTGTGTCGGGTGTATAGTATGTGGGGTTACCGAAGTAGAATATACTCGCTAGCCAGCTATACTCGTTACTGTTGATATGGGCATTGGTGAAGAGGTCGAAGACGGCGCTGTATGAGAGGGCTTGTTTATCAATGTATTGTAGACAATATGTCCCGCACATCAACGGCAGAAGAATCATGTCGATCCGTCTCCGTAGTTTCTTCGTCCGGGATGGATCATCGAGCATCTCTTGCATCTGGTCGTGGGATATGCCATGTTCGTGGAGAAAGATCTCGGCTTCGTCTAGGTGGGTGATTTGGCCGATGTCGACGTCGTCGACTTTTGTTGTAATTGGGATGGTCTTTTCTGGGTCTTGGGGCTTGGTATTTGATGTTGTGTCTGTCATTGTGAGGGCAAGTGTTGTCTAGCTGGGGAGAAAGTAGAAATTGGGGAATGGGGAGATATAAAGTGTATTCATGGCCTGTGGCATTGCGTTGCTCTGATAAGCTGCAGCAGCCACATGATGGCGAGCCGCGAGACGTGTGTCGATAGCATGGCTCTTGGTCTGAGCGATAAGATCAATGCGTCTGGGTTATATTGCCGTATACAGCAAGATGCACGACCATCTAGGTGATTATAGGCTATCTCGGAGGGTTTCCGAGATAAGACCAGGTGATAAGATGAAATGCGGGGTGCGCGATCGGCATCAGAAGTAGAGCCGATGAGTAGCTGAGATGTGTCTGTAAAGCCTTCGTTTTTCGTTGGAAGGTATAGAGATGATGATTATGATATGTAAGTTGTACTTTGTACTGGTCTTTGTATAGGCACTAGATGGGTGTTAAGCTTGCAGTTTGGGTTGCCTTGGTAGGTGGTAGGAAAACCATAGTAGACGGTCTTTTGTCCACTGATTATTATAATTCAGACATTACCAAATGTCTGTAGGTAAAGTAGGAACAGTGAATAGAATTGTCATGATCCGCTGTTTGAAGGAGACTGAAGAAAAGACAGGTAGTCACCGCAGCTGTGGAAGTTACAGTCTATAACCTAAGTATGAAGGTGAACTAGAAACGACGAAGCTTGGCAACGCCTACTACGGCTGAACTACCACAGCCAATCAATCTTTCATCGCGTCTTCGAGCAGTGCTCGACCCGACGGAAGGCCGCCGCTGTTGGCCGCATCCCGGCGCATGAAGAGCGACTACAACTCCAATCAGCTACCACTCAACTGTTGGATGAACCTCCAAACATATGAAAATGATCCCAAATTAACCCAGAAACCAATGATACACACCCTCCCTCATGAAACAGCTTATGCACGTGAGATTATATTTATAAAATAATCTACATTAATTAATATCCCTGCTGCTGCAAACCTGACCTGCAACCCAACTTAGCGCTGCTGCTCTGCATCTAGTTATAAATATATCCCCCTAATATTACTTAGTATAGTAATCCAACACGTTCTATCTCTGGAAACCGCACTATTCGGGTGATATTAATAGGGTCCAACCACTTTAGTAAACTACACTTGACCAATCACACCCCCCGGAAATTTCCAACAGGTTGGAATGGATCGTCCGGGAACATGCTGGGCTGGGATTGACAGCGGTTGCTGCCGCTGCGGCTATACCCATCTATTTCTGGGGTTGGCAAACATCTATATTCAGCTGCTGCATGTTCTCAGTGATGTAGTCATGGCTTCAATATTTAAGTATTGTGGAAGTTCCCGTAGAGATGGTATTCATCAACAAGCACTTATAAATTAAAGCATCATCCAGAAATCAAACCTTCGCAATGGCAGCCATCGAATATCCATCCACCCCGGCCTCTATCCCCCTCCACCATCACCAAGCAACCATGGAAGCATCTCGATCTTCCGATGCCGAGAGACGACAGAAGGAAGAAAACCTCGCCAAAGCCAAAGCTAATGTCCAACGTATTATGCAACTTTACCGCTCTGGGAAGCCACTATTTACACGGACACTCTTGAAGGACCTTCACGAGCAGATAATTCAGGGAAAAGACAAAGTTAAGATCCCATCTTGGAATGGTGAGGCAAAAACATACAGCCTCGAAGTTCCTAAAGACCTCGCCGAAAGATGGTAAGTCCAATCTGCTCCAATCAGACACAGTCTGTCACTCTAACAGAGGAAACAGGCGCAGATATAACATCGACTATACCAGCATCCAGCGCTTAACAATGTTCGACCCACTCCTTCTCGATCTGCTGTTGGACCCCCCGACCCCCGTCTCCATTACGTATGTGCGCGACCCAAGCCCTCCTGGCGTCACCCCCAAAGTGATCGACGATACATTCAAGCTGGTCCGCCGGGAATGGCAGGAAAGCGAGACATGCTCTAACCTAGAGGGCTCTTTCGTGAAACCGAGGTTTGATCCGGAGGCAATTACAATCACCAAAATCGTTGCCTTTGGACTGGGAACCCTCGGCAAGAACAACATCGGGCAACTTCCGGTCCGCTCTTATGCCCAACATGCTGCTACGTTGACTATTGCCGCCGTTTTGAAGGAACGGAATATAAGTCAAGGTCTTGATGTGCAGTGCTTTAGCCAGGATCCGTGGTACAATGAGACAGATATTGAGTTTCTGGGAGGTCTCGGTATCACGGTGCTAAAAGACCCTGAGGGATTTTTGGAGATCGATGAGCAGACGCTGGTATTCTCTGTCGGTCCCGATGTTCCCGTTAGGCAGATCGTGGCAGATGTGCAATGGCCGGCTGCTATGGTTTGGAATAGTCCGCTTTCAGAGGTACAGATTAATCGGGGAATGTATTGGGCGCGGTGAGCTATTCTTCTCTTGCGTCCATACTTTTTGTTCTTGCTAATATGTGACTTATGTGTAGTAGTCCGATGGAGGCTGATCCTGATTCAGAGAGGGTCGGTAGTATGCTGCGCAACTATGACGGTGTGCAACTGGACGATCAGGCTGATTATTTTGGGGACTT